CCTTTACTCCCACTCCTGGAATGCAGAAAGCACCTAGGGAAGGTCCCAGAACTCTACCATGGGTCCACGTAGTCAACAGGGCTCCTGCTGGCATCGGTTTTTCTGTAAGTATATTGACCTTAGTGGCCCTTCTTATTTCCAGCTTTGGCTGTTACAAGACCCTGCAGCTTTCCATAGCACCTCTGCCTCCAAGGCTGACGAGAAAACTGAGGAAGGACCTAGCACCCCCTCATTTACTCTCCCTTATCAAAGGGCTTCTCTCTTCCCATGGTTTCCTCATCTTGGTAACTCCCTTCATTCTAGGGGTGACCACCCTCATGTGTTCTGGGTCCCTTCCCTTCTCACTTCCTCTAGGTGGTTGCCTCAGCCATTCTCTCCAGACTCTTGTTCCCCACCAGGTCCCTCTCTCCCAATTTCAAATTGCAAATGGACTATCCTTCTCCAAAATGCTTGGGACCAGAAGGGTTTCCGATTTCTGAGTTGTTTTGGATTTCTGCTTATTGGCATAGACTTTACCATCATGTCAGCATTCGAGAAGTTTCTGATTTTGGAGCATTTCAGGTTTTGGATTTTGTGATCAAGGATGCTCAACCTGCACCATTCCAAATTAGTTTCATTCTACCCTGAAACAATTGTCCCTTGATTGGGCTCCCTTGCAGCTTCCATCTTGTTTCACATTTCTGGGTCAACTTTGCTCTGGTGGATGGTACTTGACACCACTTTTTTCTTACCTCCTAGTCCATTGCTTCAATCTCAGATTCAGCGTCTGTCGTCACTGTGTGCAGGAACCGTACCTTAGACATCTTGTTACCATTTCCTGCTTCCAATGCCAATGTCAGCACCTTCAGCATGACTCTGGTGGCCTCTTCCCCTTTTTTTAGAAATGCTGGATCCTTTTGCTTCTTTTATGTAAATCTTTTCTAGCCTCATTTGATGAGTTTCTTTCCTCCTACCAACCTGTGGACTTACCCTGAGGTTCTTCCATGGTCCCTGGATCTGGATTGTCCTCCAGAGTCTCTTGTGGAAAGCATGAGCCCCAGTGCAGAAGTTCAGAGGTGGGGCTTAGGCAGCGATTGGACAGTGAGGGATGTGACCTCTTCAGTGCACTTCAGACTGATCCATTCAGAACTGAATGGACTACTGGGAGGTGGGACCTATTTGCAGGAAATAGGTCACTACAGCCATGCCCTAGAAAGGTTTCTCTTCTCCCCAGCCACCTCCATGAGTGCTCCCCGCCCCACCCCTTGCTTCCTGGCCAACAAATGCTGAGCAACCCACAAGCCTTTCCACCATATGTCTCACCTCAGGCCCAGAGCAATGGAGCCCACTGATCATGAGCCAAAATAAATTTTTCCTCCTCTGAGCTGTTCTTTGTCAGTTATATTGGTCACAGGAATGAGAAGCGGACTAACACAGCCCCCTACACTCTCTCTTTGAGTGACCTCATGCACTTCACTGTTCCCACAGGTGGCTCTGCATACATAGACGGCTCCCAAATATAAATCTGCAGTGTGAACTTCTCTTCTGACTTCCCTTCCCTTTAGTTATTCTGCAGCTAAACTAAATTTCATCTTCAAAGTGTCTACATTCATCATATGGGTGGGTATTTGGGGATTGAAGACCTAGAAGAAAAGGAAGGAAAAATTCCAGCCCCATCTTAGCTATTTTTTTAAAGGCATGATTTTTATTGATTTTAATAATTTCATCTTTGCTATTTTTGATGTTGCAAATAAAGGTTAAAATATATGTGCTAGGTGAATTTCACAGAGATCACAGAATGTAGAAAGGAAGCAAACGCCAAATTAATTTTTATTGACACAGCATTCTTCCTGAAATTTCTTGGTTAATCATATTATTTTCTCAAAACAACAGCTGTGTTTGTGCAAGAAAAGATCCAATATTCTGATGGCTCACTGGGAATTTCTGGTTATATAAGTTGAAAATCACATGTGTGAAGTTTATTGACATGCCCATTACATGACTTCATTGAACTATGAGTGTAAAATTTGTTGTAAATACATTTTAGTATGCTTTTAAAAATAAATTTTACTTGAAATACATAAGAGCAATATATAAAATACAATACTCCAGATACTTGAGTGTGAATGATGGTCTGAATGCTACACAAATATACATTTGTCCTGTTAAATTTCCACCTGGAATTTTGCCTTACTTTTCTATGATCTTTCAGCCATGAAGTTAGCATGAGTTCTATAAATGTTAAAAAAACAAGATCACACAGTGCTCAAGTCCAGTTTCTATTCCAAAGGCCATATGGAAAGTTACAGAGGAAACTAGCCTTCCACTGGAGGGCAAAAACAGTGAGTCAGTTCAAAAGTGAAGTGTATTTGATTGTGAAGAAGTGTCGTGCCCAGGAATATTCTAGAAACTGAAAGGTCTAGAACTTGTAGGTAACTACTTATCCTTTCAATCTCTTCATGTGCGTGCCTGGAAAACTAAAGTAGAATACTTGGAGAACATGTAATGAAGAAAACATAGGATAAACTTTGTACTTTTATTGAATGACAGTTTTCTAAATTGTTCATGAAATTTGCCCATCAGAGAGAGGAAATGCTTCAAAATATATGCATGTACTTATTCTTTCATTTAAGAATAATGTTTAGTGAGCACCAAATATGTATAGGGCTATCGCATCCCTCCCCTGCAGCCCTGGAGATAATGTTTTATGTAATTAGTACAAAAAAAAAATAGACAGCAGTCTATCTTACAGACATTCAGAGAAAACAAGGGGCTAAAAAGAGGGTTCTATAGGGGTTTAAAAGGTAAAGATTGTTTTCAACCTGGTATAAAAGAAGAACTGGCATTTGATTTAGATCTTACAGGACTGGTCAGGTTCAGAGGGGGAAGAAGATGTCTGGAAGCATTTTATGTAACAACTGATTTATTCTTCATAAAACACTATAAGTAAGAGGGAAATAAATAGTTTAGAAGTAAAATTTTGGGGAAATGTTATCACCCGCTCTTGCCACAGAGTCAATCTTGGGGGTCAGGCTGCCTGGCTGCAATGCTCTTCCTCCTTTTAGGATTCTGGGATGCTATGGACACACAAAGAAGCTTCTACTGTGATTCCATGAGCTGCTGGGCCATGAGATCAGGGACCACCTGTATCCAGCAAATGCATCACAGGCCTGAGAAGATAAGAAAGATGGCAGGGGTCTTGCTTATGCCTCCCAATGGGAGTGATTTCAAAATCATATTGTATTTTTCCATCTAAAAGCAGTGTCCATTGTACAGAATTGTCCTGCTGCCATTGCTACTGGCCAGGGTGGCAGTGGACAGGGAGTTCTGATTCATGGACATGATTCCAAGCTTCCTTTGCAATTAGACACCTTCTGAATCAAATCACTGTTGGAAGGATGTGGGGAGTTGAGCCCGGCTGTGGAGAGCCAGACTGGGAGTTAGATACCTAGAAGTAGAAAGAAAACTCATATGCATATTGAGGGGCTCTTAAATGTCACTTGTCTTCTTGGGAACACGTGATTAATGAGCCAGGATGGGCTGGCAAAGAGCATCCTGCTAAGGTGGAAGCAGCGAAAACTTCCTTTTTCTGTCAGACTCCAACTGCATCGATGGGGAGATGCCTAGTCAGCAAGTCCCAGGAGTTCTGCAGGGAGTAAGAAAGGAAGGAGGAGAACATGAACTTGAGATGGGGGCCCCAGGCAAATGAGAGCATAGTTCCTAATAACTGGAGGGAGGGGAAACAGGGAGGGTGTGGCAAAGAGTACCACAATCAAAGGTAAAATACTTGGAAAAAAAAAAGTTTCCTGTGTCATTGCCCAATGTCCTTGAATGCCCTTGCCCACCAAAGCTCACTCTGATGAATGATGCAAAGTCAAACTGGAAACCCACATTTAGGAAAGATAGCCAGTTCCCAAGGATCTGCTGGAAAGTCCCTGAGCCTGGTTTCCTGTGTAGGTGGGTGGGCTCTCTGTCCCTCCCCTCCTCCTTCCTTTCATAACCCTGGGCTAGGAGACCCTTCCGGTCCAATCCTTCAGTCTGGTTGACTCATTTGTATCCAGCAAATCTGGCTATTTCCACTCCTGGTACCTCAGTCCTGGAGTTTGAAGGGAAAAGAGAAGGGCAATAGAGTAAGAAGCTCTTTACTAGTCAGTAGAGAGCAGCAGCTCAAAGGGACTTTGAAAGATCACCAGATGATGCTTAATGCCTTTCTGCCCAGTGCACTTGGATCAGGTGATGAAAAATGAAATCGCGGGATTTTCTCATAGAAGAAAAGGAGAAGACGAGGAGGAGAAAAGAAAGGAAGAAGAAGCAGAAGCTAAATGAAGGCCATGAGCTATGAGATCTCTCAGTAAAGTCATCCTCAGCAGAAAGTTCTTTGCAGCTGTATTCTGGGGACATTTTAAGCCCACCATGCCCCTGTACTGGAGAGTCCCTGAATGATCCCTCTGGAGAGTCCCTGAATGATCTCACCATCCAGTTGACTCCCAATTGCTGGGTCCTTTCAGTAAACAGAGTGTATGTAATTCTAGGCACCAGGCTTGATTGTTTTGCTTTTGGTCTTCTCTCCCCTACAGCTCTTCAATACCCACGCCTGCACTTCAACATTCAGACCAAGGCAGTTCCCAAGACCTCTCTGTGAGGTCAGGGCAAGGAGAGCCTATTCTTTCTTGCTTACAGGGTCACGGTGGGGCTTCACACCCGGTGACCTGCGGGTGACCACACAGTGAGTGCAAAGCAGGGCCTGAGTCACTGCCCCCAGCTGGCTTGGGTTGGTTCCTCCCCAGGCAAACGCCTTGGCGCCCCTCTTGGGCCGGAGCCTGCTAGGATTACAGCTGAATGCACTGGTTCGAAAGGAAGAAAGAAAATCCCGCAAGTTAAGTAGAGTCAATTCCTGTCCCCACACGGTGGGTCCCGGGCGGCTGTCGCTAACCCGCTTGCTGGCGAAGAAAGGAGCTTATTATGTGCGGGCGGAGAGGGGGGCCGGGAGGTGTTAAGCAGAGAAAACGGGTTGAAATTCGAGTCCGGGCGATGCTGGCAGCCCGGCGCCTGCTGTTAGACAGTCCGATGAACCCTGATAAACCCAGAGGCGCTTTCCCGCACCCCCGTGCAGCCCGGAAACTTCAGCACCCGGTGGAGAGGGGAGGGTGCCGGAGCAGGGTGCCGGCACAGGGGAGAGAGCTGCCTCCGGACCCCAGGCCGGGCCATGCTCCTGGTTCTGGTGACAATGACGTGGTCTGCACCGGAGGGTGCGTGGCTCCCGAGGACCCTGCAGATGGAGCCACTTAAGGGCGCGACCTGGACATGGACCCCTTTCTGGGACATTGTCGGCTGCACCATCCTCCCAGAGCAGCGGGAGAGGACCCAGGCAGGCTCACACATACCCCCATATCCCCTTGCAGTCCGGGACCCTGGGGCAACCACCCTTCTCAGTAGCATTCAGACTTCTGTGGTTCATCCTGCCCAAGGAGATGAAGGTGGGTAATGCCACCCAACCCCATGCTTCATTAAGGAAGGTTAAAGCAGTGTCCTGAAGAGAGACGTACACCCATGTTCGTAGCAGCATTATTCCAACAACCCAAGGTGGAAGCAGCCCAAAGTCCACCGAGGGACGAATGGATGAATCGAATGTGATATGTACCTGCAGCCTCAGAGAGGAAGGACACTGATACACACAACAGGGTGGACGGGGTGGGGGGTGCTTTATGCTAAGTGAAACGAGCCAGTCTCAGAAAGATCCATATGGTAGACTCCACTTATAGGAAGTACCAGGGTAGCAACAGACACAGGAAAGGGAGTGGTGGTTGGAGGGATTGTGGGGAGGAAGAGGGAAGCTCAGGGGGGAACAGACTTCAGTGTTTCAAGATGAAAAGGTTCTGGAGATCTGTTGCATGGCTACACTGAAGGTCCTTAATTGTCACTGAAGTGTGTGCTGGAAAATGGCTTAGCCATGGTACATTTTACATTATGTGGTTTTTACCAAGCAAAAAAGTGTGTGTGTGTGTGTGTGTGTGTGTGTGTGTGTGTGTGTGTGGGCGGGGGCGCGGCAGTAAGCACAGGGGACAATAAAGCTTGAAAAATTGCACAATGAGAGAAAATTACAGATCAAACTCATGGACATTGAGGCAAAATTTTTAGATATTTTTAACAGAATCTCACTACATTAAAAGAATAACATACAAAAAATAATTAAAATGGTAAATTTTATGTTACATATTTTTTTACTGCAGTTTTTTAAACAAAAATCCTCTACCCTCTCACCAAAATCTTTATGGGCTGATCAAGACCCAGAGTGAAAAGGGTGAGCTGGGCAGCGGGGGCCAAACCAGTCGGCCTTACAGCCTGGGAAGTCCCAGGCAGGATTGCAGAACTCTCCAGACCCTTCCTTCCATCAGTGGGATGGCAGGGTTAGGGGGGGGGCGTGGTCCCCAGAGCTTCACATGCTACTGGGATGTTGGTGACTCATGGTTTGGCTTGGCACAAGGTGGAGACCAACTGCTTAGGCCATCTGTGAGCAAAAGGGGACTCTAGGTTCCTTAGAGTCTTAAACAGAGGAAAATGTTATAGACAAAGTTCCTTGAGGGGTAGGGGAGAAAATAAAAACGCAGAAATGGATCACAGAGAAAAGACATTTTTGTAATTCTAAAAGGAAATGTTCACTGCTCTCCAGGCAGGTAAGGGAGCTCCTACCCTTCTGGTCCTTATAGGCTATGCTCCTTATGAAATGTTCACATGCAGCAGCTGCCCCCATCCTTCTTAAGTCACTCAGCTGTTGGCACAGAAGCCCTATCGCATCATGTTTAAAATTTCCACTTTTCTGATCCTGTCTGAGGGGTACAACTGGGTTGCCACACTGGGGTGAAAGCACAGTTTCCATGTGTTTGTGTTGATGTGAACAAGACATAGTGTCCCTGGGCCTTGTCTTACAACCACAACACCATGACCAGTCTCTTGTACAGCAGGATGAAAAACTTGAATGATTGGTATTTGTCATAATTCAAAATAGTCAAAATGAACCACTGTTCAGATCATTGTTCTAATCATTTTCATCTTTTTTTTTTTCCAAGCTAAGAGGGTTCTGGATCGACATGGGTCTGTGAAATGAGAATCACAAGATATCGCTGACTCCCAAATTGCTTCTTAAGTAATACTAAAAATGTTTTTGGCTTCCCATTCTAATATTAAATTGTAGTAAAATATATGTAACATAAAATTTACCATTTTAACTACTAACTATTGAAAAGGACTTTGGTTTCATTTGTGAGTAATCAACAAGAGATAATGTGTGTGAAAGTGTTTTGATCCTTGTTTGGAAGAAATGGCATCAATGTCAGCATCCTACCTGAGCATTCTATGAAGTATTCGTCCCCAGAAATGGAGGGGGAGGACAACCAATTCTGAAATGCTTCTTCTCTCCCACTGGAGGCTGGGCTGATAGCTCTCCGTTTTCAGTTACAAACAAAACACAGTTTGTATCTGACGGCAAAATAATACATATTCATTGTTAAAGAAAATAAAACCTTGGAAAATACAGAAGACCACAAAGAATTGATTTCTTTTTAATTTGATCTCTCTCTCTCTTTCTCTTTGAAAAGAAGAAAAGTTTCAATAGAGACCTATTTCCAGAAGATTACCTATCAGAAATAGAACACCCCACTTTACCATGTGAGTAAGCCATACCAGTAAATATCAAGAAATAGATTCTCAGAAGTGAGATTGTGGGCTGGGGATGGAGTTCATGGCTTGCCTAGCATGCACAGGCCCTGGGTGTGATCTCCAAGGCCAGGAAAAGGAAAGGAAAGGGAAGGGAAGGGAAGGGAAGAAAAGGAAAGGAAGGAAGGAAGGAAGGAAGGAAGGAAGGAAGGAAGGAAGGAGGGAGGGAGGGAGGGAAAAAAACAGTTTGATTAATTCAGGACATTAGCCAAAATTGAGAAAAATAATTTGATCCTAAGAGTCCAGTAATATTGAATTTTCTGTTTATCACAAAAAGTTGGATCCTGTTCTCCACTGTGAACATCTGACTGGTCCTCAGGAGAGACAATATGGCTTCCGGTTGACAAGAGGTTTCAATGAGCAATAAAGGACCAGCATCCTAATCCTACCTGGGCAATGCCCCACCATATGGCCTGGAAAAGTAATTTAACACCTCAAAAGCACCCTCATCTGCAAACTGGAGTTGCTCATGACTATGCTATGAGGAGAAAAATCAATGAGCTAATCCAAGAGAGAAATTGGTGCTGTATCTAGCATATACTAAGTACTCAAAAAAAAAAAAAAAAGTAAAAAGATGCCTTTTCAATACATGTCCTAGAAGCTGAATTTGTGTCAACTACCCCTTGAGTGATCACTAAAGCCTGGGGGTAATTCAGATACTGGTGCTAAGTTACTTTTCTGAAAAAGATGGCATACTGAAAGCTCAATTCTGGATGCTCTTTTTTCTTTTCCTTTTACTGCTCCCCCACCCCATGCCATTAACTTGCCTCAGGCTATCAGACTCTTGGGACACTAGAGCAGTGTGACTCATGGGTATGTGAAGGGAACCTCATCAGGTTTCCATCTTTCTGCTGTGTTAGATGGGAAGTGCCATATGCCAAGAAGAGTGAGGATGTGCCTCTTGTAAGGTTGGGAATGAATTTTTCCCTACTGCACTGAGCTCTCCGAAAGATACTTTATTCCCACGCTTTGTTCCAAATGATATTGCTATCAGCAGGAGAAAGCAAGATCCAGTGATAGGATTAGATAGACCCTCAGTCTGTCAATCAGCAAAGAAGGAACCAATCTAGCCTGACACTTGCTTTAATTGAAGGAAGTGGCTAGGAAGCAGAGCATGCAGAGGTGAACTGCATCCCTGCACCCTGCATCTAACCTGGGACCCTCTTGACCTCACCCCTTTTTACTATATAAAGGAAGACACTGAGCTTTGTCTTAGTTTTGATCTTATAGCTTCTGTGAAACCCATGATTCTTTCTCTTATGGGATGCTGAGACTTCCTGGTTAACTTTGTTGAATGGTTATAAATCCATCTCTTGATTCCTAAATCCACGTAATTCATGGCATTCTCAAGTGACAGCATTTTAGGCAACCAACCATAGAAAGAAGCATTCATCTAGGAACTAGGAAGTTTGAACTCTTGTTTTGTCCACCAAAGCTAGAAATCCTTCAAGTAGGCTCCATGCTACAGGGTCCACAGGATTTCCTCCACTCAGGGAGGAGACTACAACTGTGGCAATAAGTATTTTATGAGCCCTGACTACAAGTTGGTTATTACTGAAGATCTGGTGCCATTAGTTAAGAGGGGGAGGAAATGCATTCTTTAGCAATCTGGACCTGGCATCTAAAATTTAATATCTGTCACTGAGAGCCGACATGTTGGCTGTCACTCATCTATGAATGTGGGTCCACTAGATAGCAGGAAGCTTAATTTCAGGAATTTTTATTGTTTGAGTGATTATATCACTCACCCCTTCACTCTTTAGAAAGGGAAAGTGAAGCCCAGAGAAGTGAATTAGCTCAAGCTTATCACCCAGCTTATTACGCTCATCCTTGAACACAGGGCTCCTGACTGCTAGACTGGGTTCATCTAATTTTGGAAAGTAGTACTTATTACTTGGGCAAATATGCCTTCCTCATCATTACTAAGCCTCTTCCATCTCACCCTGGACATCATATTCAAGCACCCATTAGACAGAATCATACCTAGCAAAATGGACACCCTGTGTACTTATGGTGGAAGGAATATTGGTGCTGTCTGAAAGTGTGTGTGTTCCTTACTTATGTCCTGACTCAAGGAACGCAGTCTCCAGGTATCCTCAAGATGTAGGCCAAAGGCTCATGTAGGGATGTAGCTAGAGTGGAAACAGCTCAAGTAACTAATCATAGAGGCCTGGGGACTTTAATTATGGCATATGCATTGACAGGTAGTATCTGATTATGTGAGAATATTTACCAATATGGGAAAATGTTCATATATTCTGATTGGAAAAGAAAATGATATACAAATAATAGAAGACTAGAAGAAATGTGCCAAAACACTAATAGTGATTACCTCTGGCTGCTAGGGTTATAGATGACTTTTTTTTCACACACATATGTCTTCTGTAATAAATGATATAGATTTGATTGTACCTCTTTTGTACCCAGATGTACAACTTTATGCATAGTGACTCAGCCTAAGGGACCATGTTTCAGGTTGGTCAATGCTCCAGCCTTCCTGATAGTCTTCTTGGTTGATGACTGACTGGTAGACTGTCCTCCTCTTATCTGCTCTGAAGATTATCACTACTGTTTCTCTTCTGTGTACATTTCCTCTTGATCAAGTTATCCATTACTTAGAACATGATGGAGTCAAGAAGGTAATAAGACTTGTGGATGATGATGATGATGATGATGATGATGATGATGATGATGATGATATACAGAAAATGATCTTGATAAAACCCTGAAATGTATTGTGAAAGGCAGGAAAGCATGTTTTCTATCCTAAAGTCGTGGTAAGGGCAAGAGGTACAAAAGGGGAATTTTGCTGGGTGTGTCTCTAGGCTCTAACATATTTCCAGGCCTGTTTCTAAGCTCCCAAACCACTTGTTCCTGGCCATGTGATGATGGATCTCTGCTGAAGGAAGAGCCCAGGAACTAGAGAAGGTAAGGACATTGCATGGGGAGAAATGTTTATGAGGAGGACTACTTGTGAATAGTGGGGATGATGGCAGGTAAAGAGCATGAACCAAAAATATCTCAATATTCTGAGAAGCTGAGGGATCATTCCATTTCCTATAATTGACGCATGTGGGGTTTAAATACAGATTATTTTCCATTTCCTGTCCTTTGTCTGAACCAAGCCAACGACAGCCCCTAGCCCTTGTAGTCTAAACTTCCCTTCATGCCTCTTTTATTTTATTTGGAGGCCGAGTCTGAAGCTCAGGAAGTGTCAGGACAGCATTCAGAGTCATTCGTTCTCATATTATTCACAGAAAACTGGGACAGACATATGACCCAAAGAGAATACTGGGAAGAAAGAAGCAAAGCCAAGCTCCTGTGTGGACATGTGAGGGGTACCCTTCATGGTCTCTACCTCGTGGACGTGTCCAGTGGTTTTCTTTTAACCTGAAGGATATTATTTTATTGCTTCAAGGGTTTGTTGAAGAAAATCAAATCCTTGAGAGAACTGGTCTTTGCAAAGGGATTTTTTTTTGCCCCAACCCATGCTGAGCTTCTGAGAGAGCTCCAAGCCCACTTTCCTGCCCTGGTCCATGTGCCTGGCTGTGTCCTCCATTTTGTTCTTAGAAACCCCTTTCAACACACTCACAGGAACAGGGAAGGGCATGCTACCCATCTCTAGGGTCAGCTGCAGCTGAGGTTCTAGGATGTAGTCCAACAAAATCTCCTGAATCAGTGAGGAACGGGGACAATCATCACTTAACAGAATCAATCCAGGGCTCTTGGTCCTCAACAGTTGGTAGTCTCTCACTGTGGACTTAAAATCCTCTTGTCAGGAAACCCAGGGGAACATGAGTTGTAAGCATAGAGTTCAAAATTAAGTATGGTGGTTGGGGAAATGGTGCTTCGGGGACAGTTAATGAAATGAAATAGAGGGAAATCCTCAATTTTTTTCACAGTAATTAAACTACAGAGGTATATCTTGAAGCCTACAAAAAATCATCCTAACCCCAGGGATCTCTGGTGAGCTCTGCTTTTCTGTTCTAATATGTGTTTAGCCAAAACAGCTTCACAATGAACAATATGAATTGGCTTATGTTTCCCAATAGGGCAAGAGAAACAGTTCAAACGTCAGTGCCAGGTTAAAACCATGAAACCCGTGCTTACATTGCCAGAGCTGGCCAGATCCACTTCTCCTGGCTCTAGACCTCACGGCCCTCTTGAACATCAACCTACCGAATTGGCAGAAATGTTATCCAAAGGGAGAGAAAAGGGAAATTGCATGGAAATGAAGGGAGACCCTCATTGCTATACAAAATTACATATAAGAGGTTGTGAGGGGAATGGAAAAATAAACAAGGAGAGAAATGAATTGCAGTAGATGGGGTAGAGAGAGAAGATGGGAGGGGAGGGGAGGGGGGATAGTAGGGGATAGGAAAGGTAGCAGAATACAACAGTTACTAATAGGGCATTATGTAAAATTGTGGATGTGTAACCGATGTAATTCTGCAATCTGCATTTGGGGTAAAAATTGGGAGTTCATAACCCACTTCAATCTAATGTATGAAATATGATATGTCAAGAGCTTTGTAATGTTGTGAACAACCAATAAAAAAAAAAAAAAAGAAATGTTACCCATGTTTTTGCTGTGACCGAGCCGGGGATAAGCAGAACAAGGCCAGTGGACATCTCAAACCCTGACTAATTGAGCTTGTAGTCACCCAGCAGGAATCACGGGTGAATACCCACTCTGTGGCCACCACAGGAGTTATAGTCTGTTGTTCAGTGAAACTGTCTAGAGAGTCAATGCCCAACTTGTCCTTGAGACATCCCTGCTTCTGGGCTTTGGAACCTGAGCCATCAGTAGCATCTCCTACTGAGCACGGTCCCTTCTGATAGTCCACGACACACAGTGAGGTTGGGAACGACACTTTGTCTAGAAAGCCAGCCATGCTCTGACACCGTTTACTACTTCTCCGAATGTGCTGCTTGGATTGTGATTGCTTTTCCTTCCCTGGAGAATAAGAATACTCCAGTATGGTAATGCCCCAGGAAGTACTTTATCTAAGAAGTCTCCATTCCTGCCTCAGAAGTTGATTCAAGTGACTTTCTCGTGGGCCCCCACAGCTCTCCATCTGCCTGCTGTCTTAACTTGTGAACTAGACAAGACCCCCAAAGACAGCAATTATTCATCCATGGCTCTAGTGTATTGTACAGTGTCTGATACATGAGAGGCATCTGATGGATGAGTAACCTTGAATGAAAGGCCAAGAGACTGGCGTTGAGCTGACTTTAGTACCATCATTTTTCTTTTAAAAAACCATCTCAGACAATACAGAAGCCCTACTTCAATCCATGGGGCCTGCTTGCTCTTTCTTCTTTGTCTCTTGCTTACTCCACCTTCCCCAAACCTCCCTTTACGTAATCTTCCAGCACAATCCCCAGATAGCATAGATTATATTATTGTTTTCCAAATGGTGAAGTAAACAGCACCATTTCTTAAGTCGTATACAGACTTAAGAATGTGGATCTTGCAGTGAAAATATTATTCCCTGTACAAATCTTTTTCAATCCTTTGGATTCTGATAAGGAAAAAGAGAAAGTCTCACATCATGTTTCTATGCCTTAGCATCTGTTGAATATCCACCTTAACAAAGAAATTGTGAGGTCCACAATTCAAAACCATCAGCAGGCAACAAAATTCATCACAACTGAAAGATGGTCTGTTTTCAAACCAGTAGGATTAATTGGTTTACTGCAGTGATTTTGCAAAGTCTCCTTTGCAAAATAAACTTACAAAGTTAACCATTGAGGAAAATATGAAGCAAATAATTTTCAAGGTAGTACAAATTTAAAGCAAGAAGAAGAAGAGGAAGAGGAGGAGGAGGAATAGGAATAATTTAAGTTTGGGAACACATGCAGAATCAGACATCTTCTAGGTCTCTGGCCTGCCTGCTGCATACCCACACAGGCCTGCTGGGCATTGCTCCCTCTGATGCTTCTCCCATCAACACACTCTTTCTGTACTATATCCTTGCATTGACAAGGCCAATGTGTGGACCTTGGTGAAAAACTCAACCTCTAATTAGTTTTCCCTGGGGCTTCCTCACTTTGCAATGAAATTCATGAGCCCAACTCAGCTCCACGGAATCTCGTTCATCAGAAGTCGCTTCAAGGCTAAGCGGGCCCCTGCCCAGGCCACATGTGGGCAGATCAGATATCTGGTGGCTGCTGATGGGGGGGAGCATCAGCACAGAGAGACATGTGGTGACTAAAGGTCTCGGGAAAGAACCAGGGTTTCCATTATCCTCGGCTTCCTGGGTAATGCAATCTGAAAATCAATTCTCATTAAACGCAAGTGATACTAATACCTCTGACAGGTTACATCTTAAGTAATAATTAAAAGCACATTTCCTGACGCTTAGCTGCTATGAAATGCATCCCTATTTACGCCACAGAGGAGGTCTCATGCTAAGGCCCAGCGGACTGCCATTGTCTCCCCCAGGAAGCCTCCTAGTTCCTGGGTTGTCATTCATTATTTTAATCTGATTTTCTTTGCTCAAGTGAAATAGAACCTGGCATTGGCACTTTTTTTCCATTTCCAACTCCACCAACAGTGCTAAAAAAAAAAAAAAAAATTAGCATTGTCTTAAGCCAAAGAACGAAGACTTCATTTTGAACCAGCACAGTGTAAAAGTTCTATCTGTGGATGGAGTTAATCCTCAAACACATCTCATTAAGTTTTATAAAAAATTCCATCATTCAGGGAGAGAGATGGTGGCTGAAAGGTCACATCCTGCACTTGGGCATCATGGTGGAAAGAACCTCAGTGTCAGGGCCATTTTCTTCCCTTTCTTCTCCTTCCTCTAATCCTCTGATCTATTTTATATTTTTATATCTGATCCCTCTCCCCACACACACACAAGCCACCACCACTTTCTTTCCCTTATTTTGCTCTAGTTTCTACATATGAGAGAAAACATTCAATGATGGATTTTTCCGAGTCTGGCTTATTTCACTTAGCACAATGGTCCCCAATTCCATCCATTTGCCAGCAAATGCTATTATTTCATTCTTTTTATGGATGAATAAAACTCTATTGTGTTGTATGTACCACGTTTTCTTGGACCAAGTATTGAAACATGAAAAATCACTAACATAAAGTTAAATCATTAACCTCAAACATAAAAAAAAATCATTAACTTATTAGAATAACAGCCAAGACTTAAAACTTACTTGCAGTCATGGTTTGAAAGTAATTTATACAACTCAAAATTGAAACCTCCCAATGACTCCTTTATTATCTCCATTTTACAGCCGAGGAAACTGAAGCAGGGAGAAGTTAAGTAATTTTCCCAAGATTGCGCAGCTAGTAAGTGCTAGAGCTGGGGTTTAGACCCTGAAGTTTGGTCAGAATCTATGCCTATAATCAGTTTTCTGTGATTATTACTATCTTAGAGGAAGATTCATGTCCAAGTTTTGCTTTATTTTCTTATGTGCTGTTTACAATTTTATAACAGATATGGATTACTTTGAAATTAATAAGAAAATAATTTGGTGCCTTTCCCTTCCCCGTCTCCCACCCAGCATTGCCTTCCTTCCACACATCCCCCACCAGGGCAGGATCTGACAGAATTTGGAACTGAAGGAACCAGTAGTTTCTACAATGAAACTGCTTAGTTTATGAGATTAACTTTTCTACTTACTGCTTACAAAGGAGCACAAGCAGTGTTTGTCCTTCTCTTTGAAGTTTATTTCATTTAACACAATGTCCTTCAATTCTATCCATATTAGTATATATGATAGAATTTGATTTAATTTGATTTCCTAATTTTTTTTTTTTTTTTTTTTGGTGCTGGGGTTTTAACCTAGGGGCACTTTACTTCTGAGTCACATACCCAGTCTTATTTATTTTTATTTTTTTTATTTTGAGACAGGGTCTTGCTATACCCTTATTTCTAAATCCTTCTGGAATTTTCTGCCTTCAGTGGGGGCTGAGCCAGGTAACTGCCTCTGATTTGTTCAAGTACACACCTCTGAGCTGCTGCTTGGGCTTTTCTGCACACCAGTCCTCTCAAGAGTTGAAGTGCTCACAGTCACATGGAGACTGTGTTAAAGTTGGGGGCAGGGGGGATGGAACCGATATTCTCGACTTCCAAGAAGCTCCCAGGTAAGGCTCCTGCTGATGTCCTTGGACCACACTTTGTCTAGACCTCTTCCTCTGCATAAGCTCTACCATATGCTTTATGTCCCCCTGAATATTGAGACGGCAGAACTCCAACTGAAAGACCAAAAAGATCCAAGGCTGATTGCTCTCCTACATCCATAGTCACCAAAACCACAGGGAAGCAGGACACATGAAGTGGGGGAAGTACCCCAAAGTTGGCTGTGTGCCCCAAAGGGCCAGATGTCCAAAAAATGACACACGGCGATACTGCTAGTTTGGGATTTGGTTTGTTCGTTTCCTCAGGCATGCTGCTGCCTGTCTGCTAAATATATCAGACATGCATTTCTTTTGTTGATAACAGAGAAATGGTCCTGGATCTTCAAGCACTCTTTTTTTTTTTTTTTCTGGGATCACAAAGTGATTTTAAAATAGTGTCTGAACCCCATGAAAGAAATAACCAATCACTTCCTCCTAACAGATAAAAGAAACTAGCAGAAGATTTCCTGATGACTCCCTAAGCAAGCTGGCAGCCTCAGGGTCAATAACCAAGGATTTAGGCTTAGCGTCTGCCAGTGCTTACTGCTAGGTGCTCACCAGCAAGGAGAGGAAACATAGTAGCAGTTACTGAACCCCAACCATGCTCCAGGCCCTTTGTCAGCCCTCATATAGGGATCATATTAGCACAACTAGGTGGCCGGAATCAAGCTCCTCACTCAACCTACAAACACTCCAATTAAGCCTGGATCACAGATTTTAAAAATTATTGTCCCATATATTATATGAAGCAAGTTGAGTGTCATGAGAGAAAATATCATCGGTATGCCCCCACCCCCAATTCCTGGTAAGTTAAGGAATTCCAAAATGGCATTATTGCCTAGGGGCTGCTGCTTTGCTGGTAAATGTCCATTGTGCAAACACTGAGATATTTAATTTATGCTGTTGAAATAGATGCACACTTGCTGTGTACTCATTATATAAGCCTAGAACCTGGTAAGGGATACAGACACAGGCAGGAGTGATGTCTGCCCGCTGCCAAGAAATGAAAGATCTCCCCTCAAGGAACTTACCATTTGAGAGAGGGGGACAAGAAAGGTAAATATGTAATTGTTTTAGACTTTATTAGATGGGAAACTTTGGGGGAAAAAAATGAAAATCATCTCTGTTTTAAGAATCGGGCTAGATGGCAGAGTCAACCTGAACTGAGGGAGGAAT